ACATTAAATGTACACTGGATGAGCCTGTCCTGGAAGATGGCTGGTGTGAAAAGGTTTTTTTTTTTTCCTTTGTGGTATGTGCCCCTAGCAGGATCCGAACCCGGGACTCTCTGGTCCACAAGCTGACGCTCAACCGTTGAGCCAAACTGGCCGGGGCTAAAAAGGTGTTTTCTCCTTGCAGGAGCCCTTCTGGGCTCACTCTACGTGGTAGATTGGTCAATCAACAAACATTGGACTGAACGGCTTTTCTGGGCCTGCAGGAGGCTAGGGACACACTACAGCCTGGGGGAGCGGGTCGGCGGGGTCACCAGCCAGAAAGCCGGCTCTGCCAGGTATCAATCTGGTTCCATCCTTGCTGAAGGGGGCTGACGGGCGTGTGAATTGCAAAATGGTCTTGTGAGACACAAAGCCAGTGCCAGCCCAGAGGGCAGGGCCTGGGTCCCCTCCCTGCAGACAGAGAAACACCTGCAGGAGACACACCTGCAGGAGACTGGAGAGGTAGCTGCCTGTCAGGCTCCAGGCGAGGGCGGAAGAGGGGCAGGAGGGGAGGGAGGGGCCGCTGTCTTCACCTGTAACCTGATCCTCAGGAATGCGGCGGGGCCCGCGCCCTACTTCCGGCAGCCCTGGGGGGGCGGGGTCCTGCCACCCTGGTCCCGGTCATTCTTGTCCTCTCCAGCCCGTGAAGTCTAACCCTAGGAGACTGCCTCTACTAGCCGCAACCAGACTCGTGGGGTCCTGAGCTCCGAGGACCATCCCCAGCAAGCCTCACCCCCGGAAGGACCCTCCACCTCACCCCTTTCAGCTTCTAGCTTAACTATTTTTTTTCTCTTTGGGGCCTTTTGTTTTGTACTTTTAGGTTTCTGGGTCTTCAAAGATTAAACATTAAGCCGAGTTGCAGGTTGCTTTAAACAAGAAAGCAGATCTCTTTGCACTGGGCAGAGGCCTCAGCCGGGGCGATGGGGTGGGCCTCAGGTCCCACCTCTGAAGGTGGGAGAGGGGGAGCTGAGGAGCTGAGTTTTGGTGATGTCTGGGCTGTGTGACTCTGGAAGGTCGTGCACCCCTCTGAACGCTGCCCTAGGAAGTGGGCTAATGTTCCCAGACTCTTGAAGCTGCTGGGAGAATAAAGGTGAAAATGCAGTTGACCAAGCCCTCTCACCAACTCCTCTCTCAATCCCACTGCCTTGGAACAAATACCACCCACCCCAGTTTTGGTGGAGACCCTGCCACCTTCACTTTCCTTCTTTCCCTCTGTCTCCCTGGTTCCCCTAATCCAGCCCCACCTTTCTCTGCCCTCCATCAATGTGGCCAACTGGCTTCTGTCCCTGGGCCTTTGCACTTGCTGTTCCCACTGAGACACTGCCCTTGATTTTCTCCTGGCTTGCTCCTTCATTCAGCATCACCTCCTGGGGAAGCCTCTCCCAGATTACCCAATTTAGTTTATCAATTTTTCCCCCAATCCCCCAGATTACCCAACTTTATTATTTTTATTTTATTGATTTTAGAGAGGAAGGGAGAGAGAGACAGAAACATTGATGAGAAAGAACATCGACTGACTGCCTCCTGCATGCCCTCCACTGGAGATCAGGCCCACAACCTGGGCATATACCCTGACTGGGAATCGAACCAGCGACCTCTTGGTGCATGGGTCAATGCTCAACCACTGAGCTACACCTGCCAGGCCAGATTACCCAACTTTAAAACATCTCCCTTTGCCCTCCATGAAAGAGGAACCATTTATTCTCCTTGAAGCTGTGTTTGTTCCTTCCTTCAGATCTTGTGCTGTGTGGGTAGGGCTGTTTGTGTCATTCATGTGTGTCCCCATCACAGTAGGTGCTCAATCAGTGTATGTGGAATGAATGAAGGAAGGAATGGGAGTTATGCCTAGTTCATTGCATGGGACTGGTTGATGGATTTAGGGCCTCCTTGACCTGCCCAAGAAGCCCACAGTCTCAGGGACAAATCTGCATACATCCTCTCTTCCCAGCTCTGTGGGGTCAAGACTGGTCCAAATGGAGGGGAAGGACTGGGGTGTCCCAGAGGGCTCCCTGGCTAGGAGGAAGAAGGTAGGGAAAGGCACTGGGTCAGAGGGAATAGTAAATGCACAGCAGAGGAGGCTGAGGGGGTCAGGCCTTAGAAAATGGAGCTGACAGAGACTGCCAAAGGCAGCACCCTACACTTAGAAACCAAGATAAGCCCTCCCTACCCAGCTTTAAGGACCCTCCCCTGTCTGGGGTAGATAGAGTCAGACACAAATGGTGGACAGGGCTCAGACAGATGGAAGGGGTCTAGGGAAGTCCCCAGGGGCATAGTTAAGGAAGGCTTCTTGGAGGAAGGAACATTGGAAATGGGTTTTGAAGGATGAGTAGGAGTTTGCCTGGAGGCTAAGGAAGGGTACTCCAGGCTAAGAGAACTCCAGACCAAACAACTTCAGTTAAATTTGACTGCATAATAATAAAGTAAAACAATGACAGAGGACATTTATTGAGCCCATACTATTTCTGAAAACCCAGTCAAAAATCCCAATACTCCAAGAGGTAGGCAGGATTGTTTGCTCCACTTTCATGAAGAAGAAACAGATTCAGAGATGTAACCTGGCTTGGCCTCACTAAGCCTCCATTTCTCAAGGCCTGTTTGCTGGTCAATCTTTCAGCTCAGTCTGGCTTTGCCCACAGTTCACCAGACAAGCATCTACCTATCAAGGTCAAGGCCCAAGGTCAGGGTATAGCCTCCCTAGGCCAACCAACCACTCTCCTGCCTTGGAGAGAAGCATGGCCACCTCTCCTCCAATCTTGCCCAAGAGAGGTCCCAGGGTAGGGCTGGCCACAGGCTGGGCCTGTACTCCCTTGTGCCAGAGGTCCCTCTTCACCCAGGCTAGGACCAAGAGGACAGTTCTGGAGGGCACAGAGCCCCCTGTACCTGGAAACAGACAAATGCATATATACGTGGTTCCCTGCTCCACACATGAACACACACAGGCACAGGCAGACAACTGTGTGTACACAGGCACACACCCACATGCCTGGCCCTCTGCCCACCAGACCAGGCCCAGCCAGGCCAAGCCTCTTGTTCGTCATAATCACAGCCCTCCCTCTTGGCCTTCTTGCTCCAAAGCCATTAGGGGCAGGGCCAGGTGAGGAAGGGAGCTGGGGGTGGTGATGCTCCTGCCCACAGGCCAGTCACACAAACCAAGGGCAGAGACCACCACAGCAAATCTGACCAGGAAGTGTTCTCCTTTAACATTCTATCCACATTGCCCTGGCCAGTTTGGCTCAGCGGTTAGAGCATCAGCCTGCGGTCCAGAGAGACCCGGGTTCAGTTCCCGCTAAGGGCACGTACCTTGGTTGCAGTTTGTCCCCGGCCCTGGTTGGGTGGTGCGGGTGGCAACCACTCGATGTGTCTCTTTCACGTCAATGTTTTTCTCTCTCTCTCCCTCCCACTCTATCTGAACAAAATATGGAAGAATGTCCTCGGGTAAGGATACAAAATTTATAAAAAACAAAACAAAACAAAAACATTCTATCCACTGTATGCTAGGTAGGCCCTGTGCAGGGAGCTGAGGACTTACCAGGCCCAGGATAGATAAGGTTCGTGTCATGACTTATGATCTTCTCCATCATTCTGGATCATTCCAAGGATATAATAAGAACAAGGTGAGTGGGAGGGGTCTCTCTGAGGATACACTTTTGCACTGGGCCAATAATCACCAGCAGGCATAGCATATGCAAAAGTCCTGGGACAGTAAGGAGCTGGGAAGCAAAGGTTTAGAGAGAGTAATGGTGAAAGGTAAGAGGGAGAAAGAAGGGTGTGGCGCCTCCACCACCTGGCTGAGGAGTGGGCTTCATCCTGAGTGCTGTGGGAGCCATGGAGGGGTTGTATGCAGGGGCTGTCTGTCAGACTCAGATATCCCAAGGATCTCTCCCTGGGGAGTGTTGGAGAGGTTGTCCTCTTCCTCCTCCCTCATAGCCCATCCCCTCAACCTTTATGGTGGCTCATTAAGCCCTAACAGTCATGATAATGGTAATAAGCAGGTAATAATTACCAGCTGGGATGCCTTAACAGCCCAAGCAGGGGCTAAGGGAGAAACTGTAGAGAACCCTCACCAGAAGACCCACAGCAGTTATTGTCAGACAAAGAGTGGAAACGTAGGGGGCTGCCCAGGGGCATGGACGCCAGGGTTCTGCTGGGTGGTCACAGCCCCGACCCCAGAGGCACTCGCTGAACCTCAAGATTCATGTCTGTCAGGAATTTGGACCCCGGACCCCGGACCCCGTGCTTTAGACAGCTCCCCGTGACAGGTATTGAAATTAAGGAGTTTCCAACAACTTCTGGTAGCCTCCTTTCCCCTCCCCTGTCTTTCTAGGGCAAACACACCACCGGACATTGGGGTAAGCGAGGGTGGGTGAAGGCAGGCTTGGACCACATCTTCGGCGAGTCACAGTGGTCACCCCTCCCCCAGGCTTTCAGCCCCTAGTGCACACAAAGCCTGGCGAGACGCGTCAAGGGAGGTGCCAGGGAGTTCTTTATCTGGGACCCAATACTCCCTACCCCCGTACGCGGGGACCTGTACAGCTCCCGCCGGCCAGGCCCCATGCGCGGACTCAGGGCGGGGCTTTGGGGCAGGCGGGCGCCTGATGGCCGGGCCTATCACGCCACCCCGGACGTGCCTTGGCGGGAGGCGGCGCTGGGGACCTTGGACGTACAAGCGATCCCGGGGCGGGGTGACCCGGCCCAGGCGCGCGGCCCACCCCCATGATGTCAACCCACAAGGCACCGCGTTGTTGTGCCGTTTACCGTGTGTCACCAGGGCAACGGCAGCCGGAGGGGCATCGATAGCTTGGCTCCGCCCCACTATGTAAATGAGAGACGTCATCCGCGCCCAATGGCGAACGGGGGCAATGAGCTCATCGCGCTAGGCCGAGGCTATAAGAGGGTGCGCGAGTTGCGCGGCGCAGGAGCCGCCGCCAACGGAGGGCCGGGCGCAGCGGCCGCAGCCGGGGCGGGCTCAGGGCCAAGCGAACGAGGGGGGCCCGGGCCCCTCGGGAGGCTGCGGCCACTCCCCTCCCCCCCGGACCGGCGCGGCGGGGGAGGCGGAGGATGGAAACACCCTTCTACGGCGATGAGGCGCTAAGCGGCCTGGGCGGCGGCGTCAGTGGCAGTGGTGGTGGCGGTAGTTTCGCGTCCTCGGGTCGCCTGTTTCCCGGGGTGCCCCCGACGGCGGTGGCCGGCAGCATGATGAAGAAGGATGCGCTGACGCTGAGCCTGAGCGAGCAGGTGGCAGCGGCGCTCAAGCCCGCGGCCGCGCCGCCCCCGGCCCCCCTGCGCACCGACGGCGCCCCTGGCGCGGCCCCCCCCGACGGCCTGCTCGCCTCGCCGGACCTTGGGCTGCTCAAGCTCGCCTCGCCCGAACTCGAGCGCCTCATCATCCAGTCCAACGGGCTGGTCACTACCACGCCGACGAGCACGCAATTCCTGTACCCCAAGGTGGCGGCCAGCGAGGAGCAGGAATTCGCTGAGGGCTTCGTCAAGGCCCTAGAGGACTTGCACAAGCAGAACCAGCTGGGTGCGGGCGCGGCCTCCACTGCCTCTGCGGCCGGGGGACCCTCGGGCACGGCCGCGAGCGCCGCGTCTCCCGGCGAGCTGGCCACGGCGGCGGCCACGCCCGAGGCGCCCGTCTACGCGAACCTGAGCAGCTACGCGGGCAGCACCGGGAGCGCGGGGGGCGCTGCGACGGTCGCCTTCGCCGCGGAGCCAGTGCCTTTCCCGCCGCCGCCTCCAGGCGCGCTGGGGCCGCCGCGCCTCGCCGCGCTCAAGGATGAGCCGCAGACGGTGCCCGACGTGCCGAGCTTCGGCGAGAGCCCGCCGCTGTCGCCCATCGACATGGACACTCAAGAGCGCATCAAGGCAGAGCGCAAGCGGCTGCGCAACCGCATCGCTGCCTCCAAGTGTCGCAAGCGCAAGCTGGAGCGCATCTCGCGCCTTGAGGAGAAAGTGAAGACGCTCAAGAGCCAGAACACGGAGCTGGCGTCCACCGCGAGCCTGCTGCGTGAGCAGGTGGCGCAGCTCAAGCAGAAGGTCCTCAGCCACGTCAACAGCGGCTGCCAGCTGCTGCCCCAGCACCAGGTGCCCGCGTACTGAGCCCGCGCGCGAGGCGCATGCGCGGCCCCCCTTCCCGAGAGGCGGGCTCGCGTGGGTGGGTGGGCGTGGGTGCCCGGGACTCGGAGAGGGCGTGGCCCCGGGGACGCCCCCGGCTGGTGCCAGGACTCGGAGAGGGCGCCTCAGACTCGACAAGCTGGACCCCCTGCTGCCGGGGGGCAAGCGCATGACTCCTACCCCGCCCGCCCTCACGCTGCCTGCCTCTACCCTCTGCGCGCGGCCACCCCGAGTTGCACAAACCCGCGTGCCCGGCTGCCCCTTTGTACGCACCGCCGCCGAAGAGGGTTTCGAGGGGGCGCAGCCTGAAGCCCTGCGTTGCCTTTCCTTTTACTTTTTTTTTGCATTCGGAAGAGAGAACAGTGTTCGATTCTGCCCTATTTATGTTTCTACTCGGGAACAAACGTTGGTTGTGTGCGTGTGTGTTTTCTTGTGTTGGTTTTTTTTTAAGAAATAGGAAGAAGAAAACTCCCTCTCCCTTTCCTGGCTTTCTGCCCCCGCCCCCTCCGTACTTCCGACACCCTTCCACCTTCTTCCCAGCCCTTTTTGTTCTTTTTTTTGTTTGTTTTGGGATTTTTTTGTTGTTTTGTTTTTTTTTGTTTTGCTACGAGTCTACATTCCTGTTTGTAATACTTGGTTCGCCCGGTTTTCTGTTTTCAGTAAAGTCTTCTTATGCCAGCTCTGCTCTCCGCCTCCTCCTTCCCCCACCGGGGCCTGATGGGCTGGGTGAGGCCTGCCCCGCTCCCCTCCCCCCACGCCTTCTTCCCTCCTCTCTCCTCGCCTGCTCTGAGAAGGGGGAGCCGAGGAGGGGGAGCCGGCGCCCGGGAGGGGCCTGCACCTCTGGCGCGCATTGAGCGCCATCTAGGCGCGCCTGGGCGCGGGGCCGGCTGATGTCCGGACTGGGTGGGGGACTCTGTAGACTCCAACCAGGTTTGCAACTAACGAGCCTGCAGATTGTCCCCTTTGGGGAGGAGTGACTGCAGGATGGAAAAGGGGCAGCCCCAGCCTGAGGCAGGAAGGAAAAGGCAGAAACGAACCTTTGGGCCAGTGTTTCCCTGTCTGTGAAATGGGCAGAACAATATTAAATCTGCTCCATAAAATTGTGAAAACTAGGTTTGTTTATAGAGCAGTGCTTGTTTTACAGTCAGTGCTCAATGTGTTTAATATTGGTTAGGGGATGGGGAAACTGAGTCACCAGACCAGAAGGAAAGTGGCACAGTTGGGATCTGACCCAGGTGGCCTTACTGTAGGACTGGAAGTTTGGGTACTTTCTGTGGGACCTCCCTTTTACAGCACTGATTGGGAGTCCAGGATTTTCCAAATATTCCCTGAAACCACCCTCCCCCCAATATTCCATTCCCTCATTTTGAGGAAACTAAGGTTTAGGGAGGTTGAGTGGCTGACTTGAGGAGGTTACACAGCCTTTGAAGACTGTACAGGGACATTTGGATCTGGGTATCTCACTTCCAGAACCCTGACTGCCAGGCTGCCTTCTTCCCTGGCTTCATCTAGGCTTTGCTATAGTGTGGGCCAAAGACCCTGGGCCTTGGACTTCTGTCTTACTTGGATCCCTAGGAGGATGTGAGCATTGGTGGCCCAGGACACAGGGTAAGCTGGGCTGGTAGGCGTGTGTTGAACCACTGACTATACCCAACCCTGCTCAGAAAAGGACTGAATCATGCCTGATTAACAGGTACAAAGAAGGAATGCCATGTGCCCACAGTCCCTCAGCCATCAAAGAGTGGTGCTTCATCATCTACAGATTCCCTCTAGCCCCTAGTTATCCCATTTGCCCACTTCTTGAGGCTTCAAGAGCTACTTTGGGGTTTGTTTTTAACCCATGTGACTTCATCTGGCACCACCTTCTAGCAGACATTTCAGGACGAGCACCAGAAATGAGAAGAGGGCTGGTGCTGAGATGGTGTCTTGACACAGAGGAGACCAGGAGCCATGTTTTGAAGGTAGAGCTTGCTCTGGCCGGTTTGGCTCAGCGGTTAGAGCAAGGCTTGTGGACCAGAGAGTCCTGGGTTCGGTTCCCGCTAGGGGCATGTACCACAAAAATAAATAAAGTGTGAAGGTAGAGCTTTGCTCCTCAGGAGACTTGAGCCCTAATTTGGGTTCCAACTTGCCACCCTGTGACCTCAGCCAAATTCCCTGCTTTGGCCTTTACCTGAGGTGCTGTTATGTGGGTGTGTTCAAGTCCAAGTAACAACTCCCAGGGCAGAAGTTGGAAGAATTTGGGGGATGAACAATAATGACATAGCTAATAATCAAGCACACCCTGTGCAGTCCCCAATCTGTAGAGAAGGGGAGGTCCAGGGAGGTTAGGAGATCTGCCCAGACTATTTACTCACACTTTTGATGACAATTGTGTGGGTTTTTTTCCCCTACACTAATCAGTTCTCCAACTCTCTCGACACCAACCGGGTTTCCTATAGTTTAGTTCTGATGCTGTTTTCCTGGACTTTACCCCACAGGTAAAGTCGCGCATAACTGCCCCCACGACAGATACCAGCACAAGTGTTAGGTTGCCACCTGTACTTTGACCAACCAGCTATAAATTGAGGGTTTCCACAAACCCCTCCTCAAGGTTCATAATTTGCAAGGATAGCTCACAGAGCCCAGGAAAGCATTTTACTTATTAGATCACTGGTTATAAAGGATACAACTCAGGAACAGCCAGATGGAAGAGATACACAGGACACTAAGCTTTCATGCCCCCTCTGAGCTGCCACCCTCCCAGCACTTCCATGTTTTCACCAACCAGGAAGCTCTCTTGAACCCCAGAGGTTCCATTGTATAAGCACAATTAATTTAATCTTTGGCCTTTAGTGATTAATTACATCTCCAGCCCCTTTCCCCTCCCAGCTTTGAAAGTTGGGGCTGAAAGTTCCAACCCACTAATCAAGCCTAGATCTTTCTGGATACCAATCTGCAGCTTGCCTCTTGTTCTGGTGCCTCCCAGCGGCTCCCCAGGGAGGTGCGGCAGAGGCCCCTGGGCCTGGCTGTTGTGGCTTTGGCGGGACCCTGCTGAGCTGAGGCCAAGGTGTGTGTCAGCCCCAGACCTGCCAGCAGTGATTCACACCAGACTTTGGCCTAGCCCTGGGAGGTGACTGGGGGTGGCAGCCTCACTTCTCTCGCCAGGACTGTGGCTAAGAGTCAGTGCCCATTTCCACCAGACCCTGTGTGGATCCCAAGGGGCTTTGGGCCCAGCCCCACCCTATGGAGCTTTCATCCTAAGAGCAGGACACAGACACAGCTGGCCTTTTAAGAAGTTATAGCTTCCTTTGATCTAAACCCTCTCATAGCTCCTGTGCATCTTCTCAATAAAACCCTAACTCCCCTACTCTCCAAGGCCCACCTGTGACCCCTTCCCGCCCTCTTCTCTTTCCCTTATATCCATATTAGCTTCTTTTCTTCATTATGCCCAACTTGTTCCCACTTCAGGGCCTTTGCCTATAACTGTGCCCTCCTCCACCTGAGAAGTTCTTCCCCCAGCTCGCCCACTGCCAGCTCCTCCCCTGTGGGTCAGCCCATCCCATCCCCTCTTTGGTCTCTCCCTGAGTTTCAAAGCCTCAAATTATTTGGATTGTGTCCCCTGACACAGATCAGATCCCAGCCCAAAGTAGGTTCTCAGAAAATGCCCAAGGGATGAGAGACAGGCTGCTTCCAGACACATGGAGGTGGAGGTGAGTCACTTCTGCGTTCAGAGCCCTAACTTTCTGCTCAGGATGGGCAGGTAATACATAGCAACCACCATGATTCTCAACTCTGACCCAGGTACTGCCCCCCCTACCCCTGAGTCAGCCTTCTAGAACCCCTTCCTCCCAGAAGCTGGAATTGATTGGCCAGAACTTGGCTGAGTCATAAAGCCACCGTGGCACCAGGGCCCCAAGGTTGGCCATTTTGGCTGGTGTGTTCAGCTTCAGGGGCAGGTGAGTGAGGCTTTTGGAGAACTTTGAGGGGGAGGTACATGGGTACCTGATCATTCTTCCCTGGCTCCCAGTGTCCTCACAGTCCCCTTGGGCCTTCCAGGCCTCTCTGAGTGGGGGTCAGCTCCCCAACCCCTCAGAGCAGGGGCACTAAAGTCCCCCAAAGGCCTGATGGTGGGCTTGTCTGCCTGGGGACCCAGCCTGGAGAGTCTATCACATCTTGGGTGTCTAGGAAAGTGGGCTTAGTTTGTGTGACACATAGGAAACTGAGACTCAGAAGAGTTTACTCAAAATTGCTGAGCCAGCCCTGGCCGGTTTTGCTCAGCAGTTAGAGTGTCGGCCTGCAGTCCAGAGAGACCCGGGTTTGGTTCCCGCTAAGGGCATGTACCTCGGTTGCAGTTTGTCCCCGGCCCTGGTTGCTCGTGCGGGTGGCAGCCACTTGATGTGTCCCTTTCATGTTGATGTCTCTCTCTCTCTCTCTCTTCCTCTCTCTCCCTCCCACTCTATCTGAACAAAAAACGGAAAAATGTCCTTGGGTGAGGATTAAAAAAAAAAAATTGCTGAGCCAGACTCTCAGCTTGTGTGTTTGGGGGCCCCCTTCTTTCTTTCTATCCCCTGTAATCCCATTTCTCTTACTCTGTTTGTTTGCTCATTCTGGCTGAATTCATCAAAAAGTCTGAACCATGTGGTTGATAAAAACCCAAGGTGGTGTCTAGGGTGGACTAATTCAGACCCTGAAACTGCCAACTCCAAATTTTGAAGATTGAGCTCCATCCATCCATCCATCCATCCATCCATCCATCCATCCATCCATCCATTTGTCCATTTCATCCATCCATCCATTCATCTGTTCATCTGCCCATCCTATTCATTCATCCATTCATTCATGCATGCATCCATCTATCTATTTATCCATCTATAAATGTTGATTGAGTACCTACTGTGTGGATTGTTCTAGGCCATTGGGATCCAAAAGCAAACAAAAAAGATATCCCTACCTTTGGGTTGCTCATCTAATGGGGGATGCAAATCTGAAACAACATCAAGAAGTAAGACACATAGTATGTTGGCTTCTCCAGACCTCAGGTTCCTCCTTTATGAAATGGGGACAATGACTGGGTTCACCTCCAGGGAAGTTGGCCTCAGGTCCATTTGTTTTTATGACTCAGTTCACATTGCCCCTTGTTCTCAGTGGGCCTGGCCATCTTGGGGCCGGAGTGAAGATTGGGCACAGGGCTGGACATTCAGGCCATCACACACTTAAAGCAAGAATGTTCAACATGAAAGGAGGGAGTGCATTGGTTGCCATCAACAAAGCATCAAACACAAGTCTTAGTGGGGATGTGGAGAAAAGAGGACTCAAGTACACTGGTGGTGGGAATGCAAACTGGTGTAGTCACTATGGAAAACAATGTGGTATTTCCTCAAAAAATTAAAAATTGAGCTGCCATTTGACCCAGTGATTCCACTTCTAGGAATATATCCTAAGAAGCCTGAAACACTAATCAGAAAGAAT